CACGCTTAAACTACTGAACCAATTTGGATGAAACTTGGTAAAGCGATAGTTTGAGTCCCAGGAAAGAATATAGGATAGTTTTATCCTAGAAATCACCCTTGAAGGGGTTGAAAAGGGGGATGGAAGTTTTTATTGACTATTAATCGTTGAACCGATTTTACTTTACTTTTACTCGCGATATTTGACATACAAAATGCTAAAAGTCAAGCAAAAGCTAGTATGTGTAATAAATAAATTTTAATCTGTTGCGTGGCTGATATACTATGATTAACATATTGATACAAAATACGAATATTTTTGGATTTATGTAAATGATTGGCTAAACGCTTTATCAAACGTAATAAATGTTCATTTTCTGAGGCCTATTTCTAATTTCAATGAAATTAAACACACGAGTACTAATTTAAACCTTTGTTCAAATAAGTCCATCTAAAGGTTGTCTGTTAGAGATCGCATTTAGCGACAAGACCTCTCATTATCCCTGTTATTATTCTTAAAATAAACTTGAGGCCATTGTTATTTTATTTGTTGCACAATAAAGAACATTTAATTCTATTCTAAAATTCAACAAACCTATAATAAGAGGTAATAGAAAAAAAACATGATTATTAAAGGTGAGTATAGTCATCTTTGGCAAAAAAACCTGAATAATTTGCAAACTACTAATGAATTTATTTACCTCGAACCTCAATATGAATCCGGAATTATTTATTAATTTAAAATTTGAATAAACCAACAACTTTAACATAAACAGTGACAATAATATACAAAATTTAGCCAATTAAAGGCCTAACAAATAAGCGCTAATAATGATTGCCCAGATCCCTAAAATCTCGAACAACGCATTGTCTATGTAGTCAATTTGTTTTAAATACTCTGTGTTGGCATATATCGTCATCGTATCTCTTGCAAATCTTGTTAAACATTGTATTCAAAATTACGTTTTAAACACAAATAAAACAAAATGTAGGTTTGAATTTGCCAAGGTATTCGTTAAGATGCCATTTAACTCTGAATGAACTTTAATGAAGTCGACGTCTGTCTTCAAATGTCTCGAGAACTGTAAATAAATTATAGCAGTAAATCACGAAGAAGGAATATCTAATTTCGAAGGTATAGAATTATTTTTTGAAATAGCCAAATGATCTAGTTCCTTAGTTTATTTGAAATCAATTGAGTTTTATAATATCATGAAGATACAGCAAGACAGAATATAATATTATTAAATGTATTTATTAATATAAAAAAATTGTTTCTTTTACAAGTGAACTAAATACAAGTATACTAGACCTGATTTTATTGCTAGTATTAACAAATTGTGCATTATATGCATCTCTTTAATACGTTTTATTAAAAAATATAAATCATTCTTCAATATTTTACGATGAACCTCACTTGGTTGAAATACACAGTGTTTGTGTAAATAAATGGTTGAAAGCGCAGCCTGCAGTGATTAATGAGGCCGCGCAAAAGGTTTTCTTTTGATAATTAATTTATTGAAAATGCCACTCGCCGAACAAAAATCCCGACTGTGTGAAAATGTATAGGTACTTTACAAACAGTCAATATCAGTACAAACTGTTAGGGTCACAATAAATACGAATCTTACGACACCTCTCCAGTCAAATCCATCAAACTGTTTAGGAATATACATACCTATATACATACATAAAACTCCAAAAGACATCGAAAAATGCAATCCCGCTTCTGGCGCAGTCGATTAGAAAAACGGAGTTAATCTGTTACTTACAAAAAGTCAGTAATCGCGATACATTACGTATGTCACATGATGAAGTTAGGAGTATTATACATTTTCGTTGGATTATTTGGTCAACTTGACTGAGTAAAACCTTTCTACCGAATACACGACAGAGTGCCTACGTTTCACGTCGGATTTCAGTCGTTAATCATAGACACAAGGGACCAAATTTTGTTGAGTTGAACGGCACGCGTAGTAACAACTTGGGCCACTAATAGATTGACAGCTAGATATGCTATAATATTATTGTCGTATATATATGTAAAAGTAAGTTTGTTAAGATTTCACGTTTAAACCGATTGAAAGCTATACGAGTATTATCAGCGAGTATCAGAGGCTATCGCGATAATTTAAATTTGTATGTTTCACTACATAGTATAAAACAGTCGTTTCCCGCTGTCTGTCTGTCCCTATGTATGCTTAGATCTGTTAAACTAAGCAAAGGATTTTGATGCGGTTTTTTAATAGATAGAGTGATTCAAGAAGAAGATTTATATGTATATAAACCTTTTATATGTATATAATACATGCATATTATAGTAGAGAAACACTGATAATTTTAGAGGTTTCTAATGTGATGTCGTAAATAAACACATTTTTTTGCGCTTACATTGCAAACGCTGGCTGAGATAGATAAAAAAAAAATGTACTATAGTATTGTATACCTTAAAGAGGTCTTCAAAAAAGTATATGTCTATCTCCTAGGGATAACCCACAATAACCATTTTTTATCCTTTACTTTTTACGAGAAATAATGGTTTATTTACGAAGCGATTTTAAGCAATACAGCATTAATCCCTATCCAATTAAGTACCTTAAATACATTATGCATTAAATAGAGATCCATGAATCAGACCGTCAGCGCGTGCCTCTAAATAGCGCGTCGAAGACAGCGCTTGGCCCGTAGCACTTTATGATTAGCAGCGATCGCACGCGTTTATCGGATCTCTCTAGCTAGAAGAAAAGAACAATACTTAATAAAAACGTGCTTTTCAGCGCGACAACGTAATCCATACTTATAAGTACGATAAATTTAAAAAAAAAATCGAAATTGTATGACAGTATTTAAATAAGACAAAACGTGCTTTTCAGCGCGACATTTTTTTCGAAATTGTATGTTCGTACTTTAGTCGGTATTAATTTTAATTTTTAAACCGCACTTATAATAAGTACATTAGGTTAAATAGATTTAGATTGAAACCATAATTTATCAATTGTATTTCTTCTATTGAGATCTTGGTTTTGAATTTAGAGTTAAGGCAATTTAGTATTAGCGCAATTATTTTGTAAGTATTTTTAAGTATCGAAAATCGTAGTTTAAGGTGAGGTTTTTAAGTTCAAAAAAGAACTGAATAGAATAGGTATTTTTTATTGTTGATTATCTTTTGTTTTTAGTCTAACTAAGTAATAGTAACTAAAATATTTTTTTCTGCAACACATACTAATAATATTGCTATTTGTTTATAACCATACGTATAGTTTTAAGGTGTAAGTTCAAACAAGAACTAAGTAAATTTTATACAGAAATTACAAAGTCATGTCTGGAAGACGTCTTTGTTCGAACATAGGTCGTAGTACAGTGAATTCCAGAGCACGTACAGCAAGAGATGAAGAATCATCAAATAGATACAGAGCTGAGAGAGAAAGAGAATCCTGAGCAGAGCGTGAGCCTCGCCGCAGCCAGGATCGGGATAGACATAGAGCTCAGAGAGCCAGAGAATCGTCTGTAGAGCTTGAGGATCGCTTCAGCCGGGATAGGGTTAGATATAGAATACAGAGAGCCAGAGAACCGTCTGTAGAGCGTGAGGCTCACCTCAGCCAGGATAAGGATAGACATCGAATACGGAGAGCCAGAGAATGGACAACCGAACAGCCACAGATCCGAGAGAATTAGTTATTCATTGGTAAATAAAGAAAGCGGAATGCCGATATTAGGCCCAGAACGTCCAAAAATTGTATTTTGTTGAAAAAACATTAATTACATTTTCTTAATTTTCCTTCAAGTTAGGATAAAAGTCAGAATCATTTTCGGCAAATTAAATAACACTAAAACAATTTTATTTTAATACACTGACATTTGCATTTGCTGGGTTGCCAACATTTCGTAAAAAAATTAAATAGTATTTTGACAAAATATTCACATTGAACTTTTTTACCTACTTGTACTTTATTTACACATACATTTGAGTATTTTAAAATTATATTGTATTATAATTATAAATTATACATTGACAATGATATAAAATACCGATCTACTTGTTGCGTTGATCGATAATACGCTATTTTGTATATTTAATGGCAACTATACTATTAGTATTTTAAAACTTGAATCAAACTGACAGCTACACAGTTGTCAATTTAACATTACTTTGTTTCCCTTTGCATCATTGTGATTTGTGCGTGTTTCTCGATATTAATTCATATTAAATCGTTGATTCTGACCATAAATACTGACTCTGGTGATTCTTCAACTATCTAAGATCATAAAAGATAAAAAAGATCAGGAAAACTGTACCAACCCGTTTGGCCAGCATGGTATAGTAGGCCAAAATCTTCATCCACCACTGGAGGAGGCCCATGCGGATGGATGGATTATAAATACAATATTAACTAGATATATGTATACAGGAAGGGTTTCCAAGAACTTTATTGCACTTGTGTAAGGGCACATTTAAAAAAAATAAAAACCTTGACATTTATGAAACCCCAAATTTTTTTGCTAACTTTTCTTTTGTGACTAAATTATGTATCTTTCAAAAAAATATTTGCATCCATTTTCACATATGGGCACTCAGGGCCTAAACCACTATGGTGGCCTGGCATCCCCCTTTCTGCCATGAATTACGTTCTTTTGATTCCTTACAAGGACGATCTTATAGAATCGAATCGAATCAAAAGGCATGTGTAGCTTACAAGGAAAAGTAAAATTAGAAGAAATTCTTTCTCCACATAAATCATTACACTCTCTCCTTACGGGTAATCATTCGAAATCCAAACAATTCATGCGCAATTTACGCCGTTATAATAACGCATTTCAAATGACCTCTTTCAAGAGTAAGCAAGTCGTTGAGCCTGGTTTTATGCCTAGATTTAAAATTCAAGGGCAAGTATATCACTTAGCTGGGAGATTGCTACCATTTCCACCCGATGATCAAAAATTTCTGCAAATTGCAAAATTGCAACCCGGTGTTCAAGTGTCACACAGCCAATTGATAGAGATTTGATCAGATCTCTCCAAGATATGCTACATTCTCATAACTGTTGCATACAGTCTTTTAAAACTGCGATCAAGAGTGTTCCAGTAGATAATTCTGACTTTAATGTCGTAATCCATGCAAATAAAGTTCCTTTTGGAGAACACAGAGGACGATATAATGCGCCTTCCACGGGTGAAGTAGCAGTGGTGATAGCTGGACAGCAATTTGACAAAAGAGAAATTGTGTTGAATAGACGTGATGATAATTTGCAAAAAAAAACAGAGTTACACAGTTCTTATAACAGCTTACATTATCCTTTGCTGCTATGTCGTGGCGAAGATGGTTTTGCCATTAATGTTTCTCAAGTTGATCCAATCAGTAGTGCACCTCTGCGTAAAACAGTGTCATGTATAAACTACTATTGCTACCGTATACCGTATTACAATTTCAACCATTTGCTTAGATATGAAATGTTAACAACCCAATACTTCGATCAATATGCGAAAATTGAATCTGAGAGATTGGCCTACATCCATAATAATCAAACTAAATTACGAGCAGAAAATGACGTTCACCTTCAGGATAATTCTCCATGTATAATGAGATTCCAAATACAGCAAAAAAAAACCGAAGTAGTTCCAAACTCAAACATCTACTAGCGATGACGGATATTCCAAATATCGTCAACTATCGCCAGAACAGGGTGGGCAAAGTGCCACCGTCCGAAACGGTTTCATTGTCTTCATGTGAGAAAAGGCTTCTTTCAGAGATTATGCTAAAAGTTGGCAATGGAGAGTTAACACAAAGTGATGGAAAAATTGACCTAGAAAACTTTTGTGTTTTGATAGACAACATCCAAGAATTGGTCAACAATATCTATCCCGACATTGATAACATAAGTTGTAAGACTATATCTTGGTTTAAAGAATGAGCGATTCTGTCACCAACTAACAAAAAAATAGATAAGGTATAGGATATAGGATAACTCGATTCTTTCAAAGATTGATGCGCCTATATACTACTCGGTCGAAACTGTTCTCGATTTGGATGAAGCTGTTCATTTTCCTACAAAATTTCTTAATTATTTGAACCTGTCTGGATTCCCTTCTCATAAAATGGCGTTGAAACTAGGTTGTCCTGTTATTTTGTTAAGAAATCTGAATCCACCTAAACTTTGCAATGGCACGCAGTTGCTGGTAAAATCACTCAAACCTTTTATAATAGAGTGCACAATACGCACCGGATGTGGTACCGGAGAATATGTATTGATTACCCGAATTCCTCTGACACCATCGGATTTACTGTTCCAATTTAAACGCCTACAATTTCCGGTAAAGATACCTTTTGCAATGACCATTAATAAATCGCAGGATCGCATTTTCACATGGCCAATTATATGTCGCTCTTTCAAGAGTAACCTCTAAAGAAAACATGTTTGTATTGTCTAAAGACGAAAAGCTGTGAACGTTGTATATGAAGACATTCTGTAGTATATTCAGTATCAGTATTGCACTCGTGCGAAGCCGGGGCGGGTCGCTAGTTTAAATATAAAGTAGGTCACATTCTTGTTTATTTATTGACAATAATTTAGTATGCATATAGCAGTTATATTGCCTTAATATGATATTGAGAGCTAATATAGTTACTAAAAATACTGAATTAGCTAGCTAAAACTATACTGTTGTGAGGAAAAATAAATAAAGTATTATTTAATGAAGAGTTTTAAAAGGGTTTAGTGTCATAGCATTAAAAAAAAGAATGTAGCTTACTCGAGAGCTCAAAGAAACAGACCTTAAAGTAAGGAACTTGTCAATTTACTACTCAAATATACGCGTAAAAAGTTGCGAACACTAAAACCTGTAATTAGGACGGTTAATAAAAATACATTTTTTATTACAGGAAGAGATATATCGATCATGTTATAGTTACGGGCACGGATCTTGAGCGCTCGGCGATAGAGTGGGGATCGCTTTAAGCATTGTGCACCTATGGCAAAATAAAATGCACACCCATTCATTATTATTTGTCTCTTTTATAAGACGTTAAAGTTACTACGTAACTTCTTGTTGATTCTATGTTAAGACAAAATGTTTGATGAAAATTTTATGACGTTATGTTTTAATTGCGCCCCGTCCTACTTCATACCACCAAAGGGACCCAAAAATCGACTTCTGCGCAGGTGAAGGTCAGCGCTCAAGATCGGTGCCGGTGCCTTTAAAACTACATTGTCTCTTATTTCTTAAGGGTTTCAATAAATTATGTCTGAGTAGACAACTTACAAATATTACATACTAAGTGTACATATGGGGGTCGACTGCGATAGAGCGGACAAAAGCTCGAACTTGCTTTGGCAAATTCCTTTGTCGCTACTAATAGTTAGCGTATTGATGATTGGTATAATAGGTGCTTGAAGCTCGTATAGTATAGTGGCCAGCCCGTGTGAGGTGTGAGTGGTGAGGCCTATGTCAAGCAGTACACTTTCAAAGGATGATGCTGATGATGCCTGTAAATTAAACCAGTGCGCAATCGTGATAATAAAGACACTGTTGCTCATTAAAACGACGGTACGTTGCCAGTTCAATTCTTTTGATATTTATATTTAATATTTGACTTACACCTTATAACTTAGAACAATATTATATATTATTAACAATATAAGGTGCCGAAGAAAATAAATCTCAAGCAGTTCCTATTGTTTTTCAAAACCGTTGTTAATGAAGTTCCCAGCAGTATTTAAGTCTGAAGAGTCTGGCTTTAAAAGTACAATAGTACAGTACCAGAGGTACAGTAGTATAGATCGATCGAATGGTGTAAAGCCTGAATGTTTATTCAGACTTTAATGTAAAGAAAATGTCAGATTAAAAGCATTGGTTCATTCAAATACATTTTTTTAGAAAGCATTTTGTATTACTATTAACCTACGACACCTAGTTAGACTGAGTTGGGGAAAACTAGAATTTTTTTAAAATAAATCATGAAACATATTTGTTTAATGATTACTAAAAATAATGAAAATGTCACAAGTCCGTGTTATTTAAGTAAATATTTCATGTCGTTATATGTCTGACTGTGAGGGCGAATCGGTTCAAACGTCATAATCTTATTAAGAAAAACTAAGTTAACACTTTAATACATCGCTCAACGAAGATATCATAACATAGAAATCGTGATCTACTGCTGAAATGTGGACAAAATCTTTAAAATGATTAGATTCATAAATTTATATATATAATTTATACAAAATAATTTACGAAAAATAATCAAATACATTGAAATAGACCTATAAATTAACGACCGGATGGCGTGGTGGATTGTGGTAGAATATTATATATTATTATACCTATAGGTATATTTTAATGTGTTTGCTTATTTTCAAATTTAACTACAAATACTATGAAGTATGAGACCTTCCTAGGGAAGGAAGTTTTCAGGTCATATTGGACAAGTAGGGTCTGCCCTCCATCGGTTTAATTTTATGACAACAAATAAAGTAGTATTTGATAATATCGGTATCAAATGTAATACATGTTTGAGAAACCTTCGTCTATCGTAGAAATATTGTTAACCTTGTACTTATTAGGGATTTGAAAAAAAAAAAAAAAAAATGAAACCAACTAACTATCCAATTATTTTAATCTATACATATAAAATTATCTTCCCTGACATACTGACTGATTTCTCAACGCAGAGCCTAAGCCGCTGAGGCTACAATGTTGATTTTTGGCGGTTTACGCTTTTTTATATTGTAAGCATCCTCTACCTTTTGGGAATTTCACCCCTAAAGAGGGTGAAATAAGGAATGTACGAATGAAAATTTCCATCATTTTCAAAGTTAGAAACATAAAATAAGAAATAATTACGCGAGCAAAACCGCAGGCATTAGCTAGTATTATACTATATAAAAAGACAATTCCTGACATAAAATATACCATAGCAGGTCCATAATAATTCATCAAGTCATTTTTTATAGCTGACGTAATGTTCATTTAATAATAAACCATTACCCTGGGTGTAAATATCATTTAAGGGGCCAGGAGAGGTGACCCTCATAATATGATTTATTATCATAAAAATTAATAGAAATATACGTTTAATGTTGCCTCAGTGAGGTCTAGAATGAATGGAGGCCTTTAGTGTATTTATGGGTCGGATTATCAACGGAATTATTTTATACAAAGAGCAGCCCGCTCGGTTGTTTCTTTTGAGAAGAAATTGTAATAATAATTACGTATTATGGACATTTTATACGGCACTTTATACCAAATATAATTTACGGATAATATAAAAAAAAACGACATCAATATGAATAGTAAATAGAAAAACAAATATAAACTCTTAATAAGTAAGTTTAAAGAAAATAAATAAATAATTGAGAACCCAAACCCAGCAGCACGGTAGTTTCCCCCGCCTAGACGAGCTAAGCGAAGCGCAAGAGCACTACCGAAAACCGTTTTTTCGAAGCAGTTTGTCGTTTTTTAACCTTCCTAACTTGGGTTTTGGTTATACCATGATATCTCGCATTTTCTTTAATACATATGGTGAGCACATAATGCATCAAATGCTTAAATACTGAGAAAAGGGTATCGAAATAAGTAAAGTCACCATATTTGACCTCTGCTACGCAGATGACACCACCTTCTTGTAATCATCCGGAATAGAAATGGCCGAGCTACTGAATACACAGGAAAATATTAGCCTTTTTTTTCCCGTGCGGAAGTCCCCTTGAATACCACCTATCGGTGGCTATGTTGGACTCGAACCGACCAAAAACCACACGCCATCTTGGGTACCAGTAGCCGGGGAACCAGGTGTACCCTAGAAAATAAATCCCTGGTACCCCGACGTACCTCTCACGCCTCTGCTCCACACATCCATACGGGCATTCTGCCCGCGTGTGTAGCGCCATGTCCACGGTCCGGCCATCGCAGTGGTGGCACTCAGGCGTTGGCTTTTTGCGGATTAGACACAGGTGATCCCCGAAGCATCCTTTCCCAGTCATTACCTGCGTCGACCGGTATGAGTGGGTCCCGTGATGCCTCTTGAGCCAATTTACCGGGTCTTACCGCCGCGATAATGGCGTGCCCGATATTACAACACAACCTGGAGTGATTGATGATAAGTGGAGAGGTAGAAGGAAAAAGACCCAGTAGTCCCAGAATAGATCACTGAACAGCTGGAGATGCCAATAAGTATCGCACTCCACCAAGTGACTGATCGCAACCGATGGAGACAGATGATTGACAGGATTAAAGGACGTCACGATCTTCAACAGTGAGAGAACGATTACGAAGAAGAGACATGTAAGCTCTTTTGAATCTTCGTTACTAAAGTATTAATGTAAACGAATCAGGAACGGTTTTAATTTGAAATTAATCTCAGCTCAAGCTTACACAGCTTTTTCCAACTTTTAAATTTTTATACAAACCTTGGCTTTATATAATCCCGGATTCAACGGGATCAAAACTTCTGGGCTTAATAAGTGTATGACAATGCTTTGTAACATTCTATTATCTCAGATTAAACTCTGTATTAACATGTGTTAGAATTAACGGCAGAATAACGGGTTTTATTCTTTGAAAACATAGCACTGTTAGGTACATGCGGGGGAAATAATAACAACATACTCTGCATTACTGCATTACTCGTATACACCGGCTAA